ATACATACATACATACATACATACATACATACATACATACATACATACATACATACATACATACATACATACATACATACATACATACATACATACATACATACATACATACATACATACATACATACATACATACACACACACACACACATACATACATACATACATACACACACACACACATATATATATATCACTGTTCATTTTAATTGATTATTTCATACTATATGCTTTAACATTAGTACCTATAATATTATTATGGTCGCCATAGCCTACTCGCCCAGCGGACGCCTAATCGCCTAGGCGACTCGAAGGTGCTCTAGCGCCAGCCACGCCTAGCCGCCGTAACAACTATGCACTAGCTCTAGCGGGTATAGACGTAAAATATTTTTATAATAAATAATGTGAGGGGGCCTAGGACTCTTCTATTGGCGATTGGCACCACCGGTCCACCGCAACACAGCTTCCGACGTGGTCGTCTTCCTTGCCTACACTGCTACACGAGTACACAACTATAGTTCTTCCTTGAGTTCCGTCTTCCACCAAATTTCTTTCTTTGACCCATTTTAATTCAATTGATTTTTTTATGGAGGAATTTTTTTAAAATTATTTTGCTATGGATAATTGGCTCTGCAATTTACTCATTTAATTCTATGTGTTGTCACTTGTCATTCTCATGTCACTTTGGCTAATTTACAATCATTGTGTTTTTTATTTCTAAACATAATATGTTAGGAATCAGAGATCAGAGGCGGTCAAGCGGAAGCGAACAAACACACACACACACACACAAATAGCAGAAATAAGAACACGAGATTTAACGTGGTTCGGTCAGTAACCTACTCCACGGGTTGCAACTAGGGTTTATCTTTTATTAGGTGCTCACAGATTATAGTTACATGATTGGGTATTTATAAGATATAAACTAGGGTTAACAACTTGCTAAACAAGAAACAACTAATGGGCCCTTTAATTAATAACTAAAACCGGCCCCCCATGTTTCTTCCCTTTAGCCGACCAGGCTTAAAGCCCACAGCTCTAAAGCCTTCACCGAATAACCCAACA